CACTTGACCCACATCCCCAAAAAGAGTGGATCCCCTTGTTCACTCACCCCCGCCCACCCCCTTCCCCTCCCCTTGATCCCTGCCGCCTTTCAGCTGCAAACCAACACCGCCCCCCCCCCCGCCACCCCTTGAAGACAGGGTAGGCAGGCTCTCACCACCAACACCAACACCAACCACACGAGATTCGCAAAAAAAAATTTCACGAGAAACTCAGACAGAGAGACGCCGACACCAAAAACAAAAGAGTAGAGTGTGTGTGGTCATGTCACATTCGTTGTTGTTCTCTCTCTCTCTCTCTCTGTCTCTCTCTCTCTCTGTGCGCGCTCTCTCTGTATTTTGTTTTGTTTTTGATTCACGAGAGCAAGAGCAAAACCCAGTTTGAAGGGGTGTTCGGAGCTGTCGGCCCTGTGGATCGGCGGCCCGCTGCCGTTTCTCAACAGAGTACCGTGGGGAGTGGTTTTTTCTTTTCTTTTTGAATCGGGCCATCGGCCCAGTGCGTCTCTCTGTTGCTGTGAAGCGTGGTCCTTTCATGGGCGAGTAGGCAAGTGGTCTTTCTTGACTCGTCAACATGGCAGCGGTCAGGGCCGAGGCTGGGCCGCGGCCCTCAAATTTGCCTTTGATTGCGGGGCGCTGGCGGCTGGCGCTTTTCTGCTTGATCCTAAGCTTCTGCCTGCCGCTGGCACATGCTGACTGCTGTCGAGGCTACGTGGGAAAGGAGCAGGGCAAATGCACTGGTGAGGCGGACGCCAACGCTGCGCGACATCACCTGGACCACGAGCGCCCTCGCCTCCCACCATCATCGTCAGGTCATTGCCTAATTGCTTCTGCCTTGAACGCACCTAGATCTGTGCCCAATCGGCACCTTTGGTATCGATGACTGCAACGGCGGCTGCCGAAGCTGCTCTCCCGGTGCGCCCTCGACACCTCCCTACTTTGCTGCCCAGCCTGCCTCGGTTCCTCTCCCGCCCAGCACTTCTCTGACCTTGAACCGTGTTGCTTAGGTACCTACACTTCCGTACCCGGATCCACTTACTGCCAAACCTGCAATTGGCCTCTCTACTCGCCGGCTGGCTCCAGGTTTGCCATGGCTCATCATCATGCTCCTTGTGGTCGTGGCATCTAGCTTGCCCCGACTCACGTCATGCATTGACCGCCTACGCAGTACTTGCTACAAATGCCCGGAAACGCACATTGTAAACAGCGACCGTGGTGGTTGCAGTCCCTGCGGGCCAGGTCTGACACAGCCTTAGGGTCGCACATTGTGGTCGCGCGATGGTCCTGGTCTTGTCATTGTTTGCACTGAATGAATGTTGGCTCAACAGCAAGTAGCGCCCACCATCGCCACCGCCTCATCATTGGCATCGCTGACATCAATGGCTTGTAGGCACCTATGCTTCAGTCAGCGTCTGCATAAATTGTAATCCTGTACGTCACATGAGCCTTTTCTGGACTTAATGGCCGGCTCGGCAAAGGACAGCCAGCCCTCTTGCTTCTAACAAAGCAATGGCCTCATCCCCCCCCCCCCCCC